TCCTAAGTAATTTCAATCTGCTAGTTGATGTCAACAATAAAAAACTGATCGATAACACACCCAACTGAAGATTCATGGAATTATCTCCAATTACTCTGTCTATAATATCAGCATCGAAAGACCAGCGAATTGCACTTTTTCCGCCCTATTCCATCGTTTCCCTAAAAGACTGTCGTATAACATCGAGGACGTACCTCATACAGTCACTCACAAGATTGTTACCGCGGGTCAACCGGTTCGTGCTCGTCCTCGTAGATTACCCCCTGACAAATTAGCAGCAGCCAAGGCAGAATTCGAACAGATGATGCAGCTCGGCACCATCAGACCCTCCAATAGTCCTTGGTCTTCACCCTTACACATGGAACCTAAAGCTGAGCATGATTGGAGGCCGTGTGGGGATTATCGACATTTAAACAACGCCACAGTTCCGGACCGTTACCCGACTCCCCATCTACATGATTTCTCCCTGATATTACATGGAAAAACCAATTTTTCTAAAGTAGACTTGGTCAGGGCCTATCATCAAATACCAGCTGCCCCAGAAGATATCGAAAAAACGGCCATCATCACACCTTTCGGTTTGTTCGAATTTCTGCGCATGCCATTTGGTCTAAAGAACGCCGCACAATCCTTCCAACGTTTCATGGGTCAGGTCACACAAGGTTTAGATTTTGTATTTGTACACATCGATGACGTCTTAATTGCTAACTCGTCGCCTGAAGAACATACAGATCACCTCACCATCTTATTTCAGCGATTTGAGCAATATGGCGTCACCACCAACCCCAAAAAGTGCATATTCAGTGTCTCCTCTATGCAGTTTCTGGGACACCACATAACCGCAAATGGTATTAGGCCTACGGAGGAAAAGATAGAGTCCATCAAAAATTTCCCCGAACCAGATTCACTCAAGAAGGTCAGACGTTTCTTGGGGATGTTTAATTTCTATCGACGTTTTATTCCTTCGTATGCCTCCATCGTCCAACCTTTAACCGATCTCCTTAAAAGTGATCCTAAAAGTTTCAATGGTCAGAGAAAGCACACGAATCTTTTTGCAACGCAAAAGATGCCTTATCCAGAGTCACTATGCTATCCCATATCAACCCCGAAGCATCGCTTATTTTGTGCACAGATGCCTCCCAAGTAGCTTTAGGGGCAGTATTACAACAAAAGATGAAGGGTGAAGTCACCCCACTCGCATTCTTTTCTAAGAAGTTGGAACCGGCTCAGACACGATACAGCACTTTTGGGAGAGAATTGCTGGCCATATATCTTGCAGTGAAGCATTTCAGTTACTTACTACGGGGCCGGCATTTCACTATTTTTACTGACCACAAGCCCCTGTGTTATGCTTTCACTACTGCACTCGATAAACACTCCCCCAGAGAAGCCAGACAGTTGGACTATATCTCCCAATTTTCAACCGACATTCAGTACATCAAAGGGGACGCAAGAAGTGACATAAACCAGCTTCAAACTTCCGTAGACATCAGTCTTGACCGTATGGCTCAATTGCAAAGAGACGACGTTGAACTCCGAACTTGTCGCGGAAACTCTTCCTTACAGTTCAAGGAAGCGTCTATTCTCTTATCAGATGCAACTACAGTTTGCGATGTATCTATCGGCACTAACCGTTCGTTTGTTCCTCTCGGTTGCCGAAAAGCTTTGTTCGAACACTTACATTCGCTTTCTCCCCCTAGAGTACGCGCCACGGTCAGACTTATCAGCGAACGTTTCGTGTGGCCTAGAATGAACTCTGATATTTGGAGATGGGCACGAGAATGTCTCCAATGCCAATGTTCCAGAGTACACCGCCACACTATTACAACTCCGAAGACGTTTGATTTACCGGACAAGAGATTTCAGCATGTCCATATAGATATTGTGGGACCATTGCCAACGTCAAGAGGATATACACATATCCTGACAGTCATCGATAGATTTACTCGTTGGGCTATTGCATGCCCCCTAAACGATATATCTGCTGAAAATGTTGCTTTGGTTTTTCTCGACCGTTGGGTGTCAAACTACGGTGTACCAACTACTATTACATCCGACCGAGGTCCTCAATTCCAATCGACACTGTTTCGCGAACTAACGAGACTCCTGGGAGTGAAACATACCTTCACAACAGCCTATCATCCGGCAGCGAATGGTCTGGTGGAAAGATTCCACAGACAACTGAAAAGCCCCCTGATGGCGCAGAATGATACATCTAAGTGGAGTGAATACTTACCTTTGATTTTACTTGGTATCCGATCTACTATCAAAGAAGATTTAGGATATACACCGGCTCAACTTGTTTATGGCACCAACCTAACCTTGCCTGGACAGCTAGTTCCCTCAGCCGATTCGACGGATGTGAACATTACTGACTTCACCAACCGATTAACCAAACAAATGCTCCAACTTCAAGCAACAGCACCTCGACAGTCTCCCCGACGAGATCAGATCAACAAACATCTGCAAAACTGCAAATTCGTCTTTGTTCGAGTCGACACCATCAGAAAAGGATTGCAACCCCCATACAAAGGTCCCTTCCAAGTTATTAAACGCTCAGACAAACACTTTACAGTGAACAAGAATGGAAAACGAGAGACTATTTCCATTGATCGAATCAAACCCGCCTACACAGACAACGGCTTTGAAGCTACATCGACAACTGCACAACCAAATAATCAGACATCCGATTCCACTCCAACAACACCAAGTCTTATCCTCCCTCCATATCAAACACGTAGTGGTCGGCAAATCAGTAAACTGGCTCGCTACGTTCATTTTGTGGACTGATAAAAAAAACAACTAAAAATTACATTTTTCCGTTCAGACATTATTATTATGACTATTAGTATTTCTTCGTACACTTTGATGTCACTGTTACTATGAAAGATTACTATCACTATTATTTGTTTATTTATATGTACCTCACGTAAAAAACGGGTATTGTGTTTTTCAGAAACTATCGATTTTCAATCCATATTTATTCTGTTTTCTTTTCCCTCTTTAATTACTGTATATATACATCTCTTTATACATTAAAAATCTTCGTTCATGGTTTGTGCAAATGAGAAACCGACCTCAATTAATTGACATGCCCTTCTATTCAAATTTTTTTGTTGAACTACTTGTATATGCGTTCGGACTTTACATGATTCAAATACCTTTTCGCGTGCATGCATATTATTATGTATCCTCATTTTTATCCTAAAATTGTTATTACTGTTATTATTTACTTCGCAGTTTTACTTAACATTTTCCGGTAGTCTCTTCAGACCTCTAGGGGCCGGGAGCCGTCTGGAGTACGTAGCAATATGATTGTACGCTTTTTGTGGGTTGTAGAAATTCGAGACATTGTACATGATTTTTGTTTAAAACGATTCCTAACAAGAATCGTACAATCATATTGTTACTTACTCCACACGGCTCCCGCCCCCTAGAGGTCCGAAGAGACTACCGGAAAATGTTAAGTAAAACTGCGAAGTAAATAATAACAGTAATAACAATTTTAGGATAAAATTGAGGATACATAATAATATGCATGCACGCGAAAAGGTATTTGAATCATGTAAAGTCCGAACGCATATACAAGTAGTTCAACAAAAAAATTTGAATAGAAGGGCATGTCAATTAATTGAGGTCGGTTTCTCATTTGCACAAACCATGAACGAAGATTTTTAATGTATAAAGAGATGTATATATACAGTAATTAAAGAGGGAAAAGAAAACAGAATAAATATGGATTGAAAATCGATAGTTTCTGAAAAACACAATACCCGTTTTTTACGTGAGGTACATATAAATAAACAAATAATAGTGATAGTAATCTTTCATAGTAACAGTGACATCAAAGTGTACGAAGAAATACTAATAGTCATAATAATAATGTCTGAACGGAAAAATGTAATTTTTAGTTGTTTTTTTTATCAGTCCACAAAATGAACGTAGCGAGCCAGTTTACTGATTTGCCGACCACTACGTGTTTGATATGGAGGGAGGATAAGACTTGGTGTTGTTGGAGTGGAATCGGATGTCTGATTATTTGGTTGTGCAGTTGTCGATGTAGCTTCAAAGCCGTTGTCTGTGTAGGCGGGTTTGATTCGATCAATGGAAATAGTCTCTCGTTTTCCATTCTTGTTCACTGTAAAGTGTTTGTCTGAGCGTTTAATAACTTGGAAGGGACCTTTGTATGGGGGTTGCAATCCTTTTCTGATGGTGTCGACTCGAACAAAGACGAATTTGCAGTTTTGCAGATGTTTGTTGATCTGATCTCGTCGGGGAGACTGTCGAGGTGCTGTTGCTTGAAGTTGGAGCATTTGTTTGGTTAATCGGTTGGTGAAGTCAGTAATGTTCACATCCGTCGAATCGGCTGAGGGAACTAGCTGTCCAGGCAAGGTTAGGTTGGTGCCATAAACAAGTTGAGCCGGTGTATATCCTAAATCTTCTTTGATAGTAGATCGGATACCAAGTAAAATCAAAGGTAAGTATTCACTCCACTTAGATGTATCATTCTGCGCCATCAGGGGGCTTTTCAGTTGTCTGTGGAATCTTTCCACCAGACCATTCGCTGCCGGATGATAGGCTGTTGTGAAGGTATGTTTCACTCCCAGGAGTCTCGTTAGTTCGCGAAACAGTGTCGATTGGAATTGAGGAACTCGGTCGGATGTAATAGTAGTTGGTACACCGTAGTTTGACACCCAACGGTCGAGAAAAACCAAAGCAACATTTTCAGCAGATATATCGTTTAGGGGGCATGCAATAGCCCAACGAGTAAATCTATCGATGACTGTCAGGATATGTGTATATCCTCTTGACGTTGGCAATGGTCCCACAATATCTATATGGACATGCTGAAATCTCTTGTCCGGTAAATCAAACGTCTTCGGAGTTGTAATAGTGTGGCGGTGTACTCTGGAACATTGGCATTGGAGACATTCTCGTGCCCATCTCCAAATATCAGAGTTCATTCTAGGCCACACGAAACGTTCGCTGATAAGTCTGACCGTGGCGCGTACTCTAGGGGGAGAAAGCGAATGTAAGTGTTCGAACAAAGCTTTTCGGCAACCGAGAGGAACAAACGAACGGTTAGTGCCGATAGATACATCGCAAACTGTAGTTGCATCTGATAAGAGAATAGACGCTTCCTTGAACTGTAAGGAAGAGTTTCCGCGACAAGTTCGGAGTTCAACGTCGTCTCTTTGCAATTGAGCCATACGGTCAAGACTGATGTCTACGGAAGTTTGAAGCTGGTTTATGTCACTTCTTGCGTCCCCTTTGATGTACTGAATGTCGGTTGAAAATTGGGAGATATAGTCCAACTGTCTGGCTTCTCTGGGGGAGTGTTTATCGAGTGCAGTAGTGAAAGCATAACACAGGGGCTTGTGGTCAGTAAAAATAGTGAAATGCCGGCCCCGTAGTAAGTAACTGAAATGCTTCACTGCAAGATATATGGCCAGCAATTCTCTCCCAAAAGTGCTGTATCGTGTCTGAGCCGGTTCCAACTTCTTAGAAAAGAATGCGAGTGGGGTGACTTCACCCTTCATCTTTTGTTGTAATACTGCCCCTAAAGCTACTTGGGAGGCATCTGTGCACAAAATAAGCGATGCTTCGGGGTTGATATGGGATAGCATAGTGACTCTGGATAAGGCATCTTTTGCGTTGCAAAAAGATTCGTGTGCTTTCTCTGACCATTGAAACTTTTAGGATCACTTTTAAGGAGATCGGTTAAAGGTTGGACGATGGAGGCATACGAAGGAATAAAACGTCGATAGAAATTAAACATCCCCAAGAAACGTCTGACCTTCTTGAGTGAATCTGGTTCGGGGAAATTTTTGATGGACTCTATCTTTTCCTCCGTAGGCCTAATACCATTTGCGGTTATGTGGTGTCCCAGAAACTGCATAGAGGAGACACTGAATATGCACTTTTTGGGGTTGGTGGTGACGCCATATTGCTCAAATCGCTGAAATAAGATGGTGAGGTGATCTGTATGTTCTTCAGGCGACGAGTTAGCAATTAAGACGTCATCGATGTGTACAAATACAAAATCTAAACCTTGTGTGACCTGACCCATGAAACGTTGGAAGGATTGTGCGGCGTTCTTTAGACCAAATGGCATGCGCAGAAATTCGAACAAACCGAAAGGTGTGATGATGGCCGTTTTTTCGATATCTTCTGGGGCAGCTGGTATTTGATGATAGGCCCTGACCAAGTCTACTTTAGAAAAATTGGTTTTTCCATGTAATATCAGGGAGAAATCATGTAGATGGGGAGTCGGGTAACGGTCCGGAACTGTGGCGTTGTTTAAATGTCGATAATCCCCACACGGCCTCCAATCATGCTCAGCTTTAGGTTCCATGTGTAAGGGTGAAGACCAAGGACTATTGGAGGGTCTGATGGTGCCGAGCTGCATCATCTGTTCGAATTCTGCCTTGGCTGCTGCTAATTTGTCAGGGGGTAATCTACGAGGACGAGCACGAACCGGTTGACCCGCGGTAACAATCTTGTGAGTGACTGTATGAGGTACGTCCTCGATGTTATACGACAGTCTTTTAGGGAAACGATGGAATAGGGCGGAAAAAGTGCAATTCGCTGGTCTTTCGATGCTGATATTATAGACAGAGTAATTGGAGATAATTCCATGAATCTTCAGTTGGGTGTGTTATCGATCAGTTTTTTATTGTTGACATCAACTAGCAGATTGAAATTACTTAGGAAATCAGCCCCGAGGATGGCATGACCCGCGTCGGCTACTATGAAAATCCATGTAAAACGCCGACATAAACCAAGATCCACTATAAGGGATTGTTCCCCATACGTCTGTATACTTGTGTGGTTGGCTGTCCGGAGACAGCTTTCCTGGTATCCGCCTGGATAGTGAAGGAGCGATCACGCCGACTTCTGCTCCTGTGTCTAGCAGGAATAAGGTGTCTGAAGTTTTGTCCTTCACATAGAAAAGGCGACTTGTTTGCTTGCCAGTAACAGCTGTTGCCATCACTGTCTGGGTGGGACGTTTCCCTGAGCCTGATTATCTTCGCTAAAGATGCACAGCTTGACACATTTTAGGGCATGACGTCCGAACTTCCTATGATACCAACATATATTACTGTCCCTAGAAGACGTGTGGGAACGCTGTTGGGAGAGAGATCGTCGTCGTAATGGTGACCTTGTTTGTGAACTCCGTCTCTGGGCTCGTCGATCAGGCCTACTAGTTTCCAACTTGTCAAGCCTTGTCGCTAACTTTGTATGGGCGGCGAGTATTTGTGACGATATTATAGATATGAGAATGTTGGTGCAAAATGGGATACAAATATAAGACCACACACAAAATCACAATGAATATACAAAATGGCAAAAATAATGAATATGTCAAAATAATCCGTGTCCTAAACGGGATCACCAATTAATTTGTAGGGGACTACTAGGAGAGCTCATTACCATTACAAATATACAAATAAAAATCCAAGTTAATGAGATGATAGGGTAAATATATACTATCAAAAAATGCAGTAATGCTTCATATTAATGAAAAGGTTACCTGGTTAAAACGTTAAAGACCGCGGCTACAAATTATCAATATAATCTAAGGGAGCCTTCACTGTTGGAATGCGTCTGCTGGTAGATGCTGAGGACCGGTTGTAGAGTTGTCTTCGGATAAGGATAGTAGACTCCTACAATAAATCCAAAGTATACAACACGGTGTGAGTGGAGCAAGCAAGCAGTAGTGGCCAGGGAGAAGGCGAAGCCTCCAACAGTATAGTGTAATCCCACTCGTCAAGCAATGATCTGAAACAGAGAGCAAAGCGCACGTTAGCAGCGTGATCACACAAGTGTTGCGTGCTAGTAAGAACGAAGACTCAAGGTCAAGTATTATATTTACAACCAATCGCAATACAATTAGATAAGAGGGAAGGGCACTCCTATTGGTCATCCGTTGCCTCGTCTTGGGTAACCAATCCCTGCATACTTCGCAGCCAACCTGAAAGTAGACAAGCATGGTTTGAACATTAGAAAACCGCCAAACTTACCATGCCTTACACTACCCCCTCTCCCATAGGAGCACTGTCCGCAGTGCTAGGTGACTGTTCCTGCGGGACTTGTCTGAACTAAGGCCTGTTGTCGAAAAGGTTTTAGTCTATTGAAGTGTGTGACTAGACTATGAGAGGAATTCGGTTCCTGAATCCTACAGGTGCAGTCACTTAGTACCTCTACTACAGTGAATGGTCCTTCCCAGCGTTTATGGAATTTAAGAGCTTTCCCTTTAGGTGGTGCCTCCTTAAGTAGCATCACCTTGTCTCCTGGCTCCACTGGTGATCCATGTGCTTTCCTATCATAGTATTCTTTCTGGTACCTCTGGTTTGTTTGGAGTATATCCCTAGTCATCTGATGTACCTTGTTCAAGTTTCGTCGAAGTCTGATTACGTGTTCGGATGCAATCAGTGTATCCTCTCCTAGTGTGTTTGAAGTCAGATCGATTGGCAACCGGAGTTCTCTTCCAGTGACCATATAATGAGGCGTTTGACGCGTAGCTTTGTGAATGCTTGCTCTGTATGCCATTAAGCACTGTGAGAGTGATCGGTCCCATTCCCTGGGGTTGTTTTGATCTACAAATGCCTGCAAGAGGGATTTAAGTGTCCGATTGGTGCGTTCAACCAAGCCATTTCCCTGTGGGTGGTACGCGGTAGTGCGTGTCTTCCGGATACCCATTATACGACAGAGTTCGCTGACAACGATACTTTCAAAGTTGGATCCTCGATCTGAATGCAGTTGAAGTGGTGCCCCCCAACGGCTGACCCAGTGGTCAAAAATTGACTCTGCGATGGTTACAGCATCAATCTGTGGTATCGCAATAGCCTCGCACCATTTGGTAAAATGGTCTACCATGACTAAAATATAGTTATTATTTCTGGAAGTTACTGGGAGAGGTCCAACCAAGTCTATTTGTACTAAGTCATTCGGATGGCCAGTTATAATGGGTTCTAAGGGTGCCTTATTATATTTGTGCGGAGCCTTAATAGTTTGGCATACCTCGCAGGAGTCACAGAAATCTATGATGTCTTTCCTCTGGTGAGGCCACCAATAACGTCTTTTAGCCGCTTCAATCATTTTCCCTGAGCCCGCGTGGCCTAACTGCTGGTGTAATGACAATAGTACTGTGGGTAGTGCCGACTGTGGAGCCACAACGCGACGAGTATAAGTGGGTCCATGTTGGTAGTAGAGGATGTCATCGACAATTTTCAGATTATCCCACAGAGACCATAAACACCGGGTTTCCCATCCAAGCTTACTTATTTCCTGGGTTGTCGGTCGTTCGCCTCCATTTCGAACACGTTCGTAAATCAAGGCCAGTTCAGGGTCTGAAGACTGAAGTTCAGGCCAACTATATGAAGTATGAGCCTCTAGTTGGAGCAGCGAAACTTGTGCTTCGGTGCATGATGGGCAGTCACCGTGATACCTAAGAGGTTTTCTTGACAATGCATCTGCATTTCCATGATTCTTACCCGGTCTATGCATGCATTCGAAGTCATACTCTTGTAGGTGTTCTTGCCATCTGGCAATCTGACCCTCAGCTTCTTTGAAGTTATGTAGCCAGCTAAGGGCTTTGTGATCAGTGCGTACAATGAAATGTCTACCGAGGAGATATGCCCTAAAGTGTTTAACAAAATTGACCAGTGCCAGCATTTCTTTCCGCGTGGTGCAGTAATTCTTCTCACTCTTGTTGAGTGCTCGACTTGCATAGGCTATCACCTTTTCTACTCCATCTGCGTCTTTTTGAGACAAAACTGCCCCGATACCAGAGTCGCTAGCATCTGTATCTAGGATGAATGGACCTGCCTGGTCAGAAACATTGGGATACGCTAGGATAGGGGGGCTACATAAACAGTTTTTAAGTCTTTCGAAGGCTTCCGTAGCTGATGCTGTCCAATTGTAGTCTTTCTTCTTGAGAATGTCGAATAGAGGAGCTGCAAGGAAAGAGAAGTTAAGTACAAAACGTCGATAATACGAGGCTAACCCTAAAAAACTATGTAACTCGGGGGCTGAGTTTGGGAGCGGCCAGTCTTTAACTTCCTGAACTTTTGCTGGATCACATTTAATGCCTTCGGCTGAAACAATGTGACCTAAGAAACACACTTCTTTCCTGAAGAATTGACATTTCGATGGGTTCAGTTTTAACCCAACGGTCTGCATCCGTTCTAATACTTCGGAAATATCACTTAAATGTTCGGTCAACGTCTTACTATGTATGATAACATCATCTAGATATACCAAACACTTACCTGGTATGCAATCACTCAAGACCGTTTGCATGAGGCGTTGGAATGTTGCTGGGGCATTGACTAACCCAAACGGCATTGTTTCAAACTCATACAGGCCTGCTTGTACAATGAATGCTGTCTTTTGCCTGTCATCTGGGTGTACTTCAACCTGCCAATATCCCGATGCCAGATCTAGAGTGGTAAACCAATTCGACCCTCTAAGGCATCAAAAGTGTCGTCTATGCGTGGAAGGGGAAAGCAGTCTCGTCTAGTTAACAGGTTCAACTTACGATAATCTACACATAACCGGAGTGTCCCATTCGATTTCTTAACTAAAACTACCGGTGAAGCCCATGGAGATACGGATGGTTTGATGACATTTTTCTCTAACAGTTCATCAACTAACCTGTTAAGCTCCTTCTGGTAATGTGCAGGTACTCGCCGTGCAGGTTGTCTACAAGGTGGGGCGTTACCCGTTTCTATGTGATGTTGGACCAGTTTTGTTCTTCCCGGGCTTTTTCCATCCCAGTCAAAACAGTCCTCATATTTGTCTAGCATTTTATTAAAGTTGGCAGCCGTTTCCGATGGTAGGGGTTCTATAGTCGTCAGCATTCGCTGTTTCTCATTCTTAGCATCTCCCTGCACGCCAAAAGTGCCGTGCTCTTTGTCGTTCCCTACAATAAATGGGATGGAACAGTCCTTCAGTATAAGAGTCCTCTGACTACAATCTATTATTCCGGACAGCTTTTCCAGGAGGTCGACTCCCAAGATTACCTGCCACGGCACCCGGGTAGAGATGATGAAATTGTGTTGAAGTGACAGTGTTCCCAATTTAAGTGGCAGCAGGACCAGTCCCTGGGATTGCATGCAATCTCCATTGGCTGTCGTAAGCCGCAAATTGTGAGTCCCTATTGTTCGCCTAAACGTCTCTGGAACACATGAGGAATGTATGACAGAACAAGTTGCTCCTGAGTCAACTAACATAACACACTTTTTTCCACCTATATAACCTACAACTTTCGGGGAGGAGGTGACACCGATTAGGTTTACAGTAGGCACACAATTCATATCGACATGTGACTCACCTGCATTGTGACCACAACTCCTAGCAAGCTTACCAAACCGCCTGCAGTAGTAGCAATCGTTTCTTGAAGTGGATTGCGACTGTGGGCGTCCTTTCCACGGTGGTGTAGGATTCTGTGCATGCTTTGTTGTTGTGTGCTGATATCCCATTGCGTTTACTTGTGGGCATGTGGTTCCTGGCTCTTCCAGGCTTTCCACTAGGCGTGCCCTAGCTTCCGCTTCTGCCATGGATGCTGGAGTGTGCAAGTTGAAGTCCTTCCTGTAACGGACGTCGACACCCTGCAAGAACTTGGAATATATAGCGTTTTCAACCTCTGAATATGTCTTGTCCTGCATAGCTTGACGCGCAAGCTTGCGGAGACGTAAGGTGAACTGGTTGATAGATTCACCTTGTCTCTGGTTACACTCGCTGAATCTTTTCAGCGCTTCAATGGGAGGTATTGGTGGCACTATACGTGCTCTTAGAGTACTCAACAGGGTGGTCAAGGGCATATGCACGTAATCCAAACCAATTGTGTACATTTCCAAGGACCGTCCAACAGAATCGATGACGAATGCGTTCGGGTGAGGCACGTTCATCAGATCAATGTATCGGCACACCTTGTCCGACCACAGCTCGAAATCATCACCCACCTCCAGTGTATGCGGCAAGGGATGGACATATCGCGAAGCAGGCTGATTTGACTGAAAAGCTGGAGCCCTCACTTCAGCTAATTGATCCACCTCGTTGGATGCTGTCTCTTTGACAGGCGAAGTGTTCTTGGAAGCCTCATTGGGTCGAGACTTGGAAGAAGAAAGTTTTTTCGTTGGCAGGCTCGCCATTTATGTAATCCCACTCGTCAAGCAATGATCTGAAACAGAGAGCAAAGCGCACGTTAGCAGCGTGATCACACAAGTGTTGCGTGCTAGTAAGAACGAAGACTCAAGGTCAAGTATTATATTTACAACCAATCGCAATACAATTAGATAAGAGGGAAGGGCACTCCTATTGGTCATCCGTTGCCTCGTCTTGGGTAACCAATCCCTGCATACTTCGCAGCCAACCTGAAAGTAGACAAGCATGGTTTGAACATTAGAAAACCGCCAAACTTACAATAGTGTATTTTGTACAGTACACGGAAGTTACATATATTTTAACAAGAATCGTTTTAAACAAAAATCATGTACAATGTCTCTAATTTCTACAACTAACAAAAAGTGTACGATCATATTGTAACGCATTCGACATATCTTCCTATTTGCTTCATTATGTATCGCTTCATTTATTTCTAGTTCTTGATTACAATGTTGATTTGTGTTTTTTTTTTCATCCAAACACATTTTTACTGCGATATTTTTGTATCGTAACCATATTTTGTTTCACTTTCGTTCAATGTTCTTTCTAAATATTTTCAGTGGTAAGGATGCTCGCCAACCATGTTCATGTTCCGGGGGTCGTTCCCGGCCGACTCACACCCGATATCAATGGTCGGCCTGCTAAATATGGGCTACCGACATTACATGCTGAAAATTCCAAACTTGTATTTAGCTATAGTAATAATAAAATATTTTTTGTTTTTTGTATTCATGTGTGAATGTGTTGTTCAGTAAACATAATTTCTTATATTTGCCGTCTTCACACACCAAGCTTACAGCTGATTTTTAATTTTAAGTCTGTGAATAGCGGAATTTGCTTTAAAAAGGGCTATTATCATTTTCATTGCTTTTTTCAAACACTTTGTTCTACTAATTGGCATGCAGTTAGCCACATACTTACGTCTTGGTTTGAATGATGTACATTAACTGTCTTAATTTAAGTGCTGTCAGACCGAATAATTCACTTTTACAGGCCGGTTAATTACATTAAACGAAATTATGTTACCCTCACGAAATACCATACTCACTCATCGTGTCTATATTCAGGAGTGTGTGAAGAAATTTGGGGATTTTAAGAACGAATTCACTTCAGTTTCTGGATGTATTTCGCACACTTTGGTAACATAATGACACCGCTGAACTATAACTTAAAGACGAATAACGTCCTGGTAAAAGTCTAAGTATCAGAAATTTGTTAACACAAGACCTTTCGCAAAGATATTTCCTCAAGTTTGAATAAGGACAATGACTTTAAGAGTTCATATCTATGACCAGCTAGTCTATTAAATGTTAGTTGTATCTTTTCTATGTCATATTAGGAAGGAGTTTTTGAGCTAAGCTAATAGTGTTTTGATTTTTTTCTTTACTTTAAACAAATTTATCAAAGGGACTAATTGTTTTAATTCTTTACTTTACTCGTGTTTAAATACTTGTTACTTTTGCATTCTTTTATGTTTCCATTCTAACGCCTTTTTTACTTATAAGCAATACATTTCATAATTTCCCCACAATGTAACACTGAATCTGTCTTTGACTGACTATCTTTTTAGAAAAACTATTTAATTGGTCCTATAAGAACTTCAGTATTACTGTTCACCTGAATGTATTGTGTGCGTATAGTTATTTCTCTAATAGTGTAGTGTTAAGTTTTATTTATGTAACAATCAATAAATTACTCAAGCTTCTGAGACCATAAAAGAATTCAACACAATGTCTGTCGATACAATAATCAGTTTTTAGTGAGTGGATTGAATTTCCACTACTCCAAATTAATATTTTACTTTATATTCGAATGTTTATTTTGTTTGTCTTACTGGGTGATTAAATACAATTTGTTGTGTTTCTGCAACTTGAAATGAACGGTCCAAACATTATACATTCCTAAAAATTCGCACTTACTTTTCGGGTTAAAGCCAGTTGTATGAGTGAATCGCAGCATTGGGTGCGTTAAGAAGCACGAATAAACAATAGGATTTATGTGTATATGCATGACAGTTCCATATAATGTCTTGCAACAGAAAATCGTCCAAAACAATTCATTTTCGGATCATTAACCAACTGTGGGTACGTGCATGCATTCCTAATAGAAGCGGAACTCTGAGTTTCAAGCTTTGAAGTTACAGTTGCGGTGGTATCGTTTTTGCGGGGTATAACTTCTAACCTCACGCCCGACTTCCACTACTTTCTGCATTAATTGTCGGTTAGTAAACCCCATCATAAATGAAACCCGACTCACATATATCTGGAAAGATTACTACGACTGGGCCACCATTGTACTTTTAGGTGACACAAATCTGCTAATGAATGAGAAGTTTTCTAATAGACAATCGAAAGCGGAAGTGATTTTTTGTCGAATGCGGACCTTCGTGGATTAGAAATAATACTATTTCGCCCTTAGTCGTTTAAAAAATATTCACTGATGCAGTATATGTTCAGCTTTTGATGTACTTGCAATGTTTAGATCATCTACATAAGCACGAACAGACGGTAGACCGTAAGGTACATAATCCATGACTTATCCGATGCAAATGCATTAATTTTAATGCAAACTTGAATTGCACACCAAAGGGTCATTCTTAAACACTTCATTGAGATCCTTGTTCGATAACTATGCCATTAATAATATGTATCGCTGACGTCTCTTCAAGCACAACAAGTTTTGGAATAGTTAAAACAAAAAGTCCGCCAGCATTCTAAGATGTGTTCATTCCAAGAAACCAGTTTCAAATAGTCGGATTAATGGTCTACATATATACATAAAATGAGAGCTACATGACTCACTAATCAATCCGTAGATGTGAATAATCAAAATGATGAAAGATACGATAAAGCAGTTTAGAGGCTGACGGTGTTGACGTTCATGGATTGTACAATGTATACTAACGCAAGATCTAATACCCACAACTTCTATAGTATTCGTTCCGCGTAGACTAAAGCCAAAGCTAAAAACCAAAATTGATTATCGAAATTACGAAGTTATTTCGCGACCAAATTGAAGCGCGAAAATGATTGCTAAACTAGCTAGGAATCATGCACGAACGTGTAGTGTACACTGAACCTTTGAACTTTTGCTTCAACTCACTCACCCATCTTTTTGGCGCTACTCCACTTTACTTCAGAGCAATTCGCTCCCTGTACATTTTGGTGCTTACACGCTTGCTCTCTCACTGCGCTCTTATACAAGCACTTCTTTGAGCTCACTACTCTTCTGTGTACAACTAAGTTATAAACCTTTTTATATCATTAAATTCTGACACATTTGTTATAAATATACTAGTGGTTACGGGCACGTTGTGAATCCTTTTCATTTATCCTGTTCACTCGTTCCTCAGTACTTGCAGGATAAGCAGAGTACTGATTAAGACCTAGGTAAAGGAAGTTAGTCTTTCTGTAGGTGTGACAGGCAAACTCACTTAGGATAAAAACCTCACACCTACAGATGTGACAAGATAATATTGTGGACGCTTGACCATAAGCCTTCAGCAAGTCGACTTAAAAAGCGAGGGTCAGTATCCAATTTTCAGTAATCAGTGCTGTGGCTAACACTTAAGGGAGTTATCAACCACTACTGCTCACTCCTTCCCTAGAAGGGTTGTGAAGATCCTAAGACGAAACCAGCTGTAAGTAAGAGCCTAATGGTGTAACCATCAGTAAAATCTTCCTATCGGCTTGACTGATTGCCTACAGGTCGTCTACCTATGCTAATTCGGTGCTTGTACGTCCCCCCATTAATGTCCATTCATTGGATCCCCTACTTCATTTGCTTTCGCCCAGTGCCTGTGTCAATCACGTCTCAAAAACCGTTAATGCCCAGCTCTTGCTATGCCGGGCCTCTCGCTCTCCCTCGAAGCCTTTCAGAAACGCCTAGTACTAACGGACGCAAAAACCAAAACACCAATTGGCGACTCGAGAATTCTTTATTCTAACACCAACATATGAGCAGCATAATAACTAAGGTCTATGAACAAATATTTCAATAATAAATCACGATTTTACTTCTGACGGTTTTTTACGTGCTTTCTGAACAGCGACCGATGAGACGATGACTGGTGTATTGATGCCTCCGCGAAAATGTAGGGAAGTTGGGTTTGAGCAAACAACCATGAATTGATCGTTCAATCTTCAACTACATTAGCAGCCTGTCATACCTGGAAAAGAAAACAAGAATGCTGAGTACCTCATCAAGGACGATGTACCGAAAATAAAGTTTTAATAAAGGTAGATATCTACCACACAGAAAAATCATGTGAAAATTAGAACATCGAAAAAACAGAATTTCTTTTGGATGCACGGCCGTGAAAGAATTTTTACTTACTTTATGGGATGCAATGAAAAAGATTTATGTGCCCGAGATCAAAAATATGCTACAAGCGCGATAAATTTGGTTGGCTGCATCATCTTGTTACGTGAGACAAGTGTGAAGATGTTCTTGGAATCCTATAGTTCGTTCAGAAAGCGTTCTCTTCTCAGTCTCTACGAAAGGTTCGGGGGCCTACACCGTGCATTCGATTCATTTGAGTATTAATGGATTTTTGTGTACATGTGTGTTTTTGGGAGTGGTTAGTTCAAGGCTCATGAGATTGCCTTCCAGGTGGCCGGTTTCAGACGGTCAACGCCAACGCAGTCTTCGTGGCCGTTTTCCTCTAAGACAAGGAATTTATCCATACGTTGAATGATTTTATATGCTTCATCCTATGGGGGTTCCGAAGGGCGACACAGAGAGTCACGAAGACCAAAAATATGCATTGAAGTTTGTCAATCACGTCTCATAAACCGCTAATGCCCAGCTCTCGCTGCGCTCGGGCCCACGCTGTTCTTCGAAGATTTCGGAAACGCTTAGTTATAACGGACGCAAAAACCAAAACACCGATCTGCCGCGTGATAATTGTTTATTGTTACACCAACATATAAAAGGAATAAGCGAACTAAGATTTCTGACGATGTTTCACTCTTCTTTCTGAACAGCG